GCTGCAGGCAGCGGCGCAGCGCAAATCTGTAAATGAATATTCCGAAGTGAAGTAAACTTCAACGGATTTCCCCTGCTCAGGGAGTAGGGAGCAATGGACACTGTGTAGGGATACCATGTCAATCGGAACACAGTTCATGCACGGTGCTCACTTCTAACAGGTTGATCTGAATCAGGTGTGTTAACAAAGAGAGATGCGCAAAACATGCAGAGCAGGGGTACGCGAGGACTGGAATTGAGAACCACTGGCCTAGAACAATTCTTACAGGTACAACACGACGTAGCTGGGTGCCGCGGACAGACGCCAAACGGCGCCGCCGGTGTGCCTACACTCATAGAAAATAATGTATTTGAATTTTAAAGATGTGGCGCAATGCTGTGCTTCTCGTCCGGCGAGCGACCGCCTGAAACGCTGTTTTTTTTTTCACTTCCGAAAGCGGATGATGTCAGGAAACAGTGGTTGCAATTTACTTTTTAACTCTGTTCCTGAGCATTATAACCCCAATTTGCTATTGTGTGCTGCGCATTTTACTGAGGAGAGCTTCCACATCACGAGTGAGAAGTGCCGGATTCCCAAAAGCTTTTGTTGAAAGACGGAGCAAGGGAGTACTGAAACACCGTCTAAGCTGTTCGCCAATCACAACACACTGGGACAGCTAACCAATCACAACACATTTTGTTTTTCAGAAGGCGGACCTTCATCAAAGCCGGAACTAATCGAGCCGTTTGTGCCAGGCTGGGGAGAAAGGTATTTTAATAATGTAAATTATGTGAAAAATAATGCGTTTTTCGAACCACCAAGCATGAGAGCATGTTCTAGTACACCCCCAAAACAAAATTAAGACTTTGTAAAAGAGCATAATAGGACCCCTTTAAACGACAACACCATTTGATCTAAAGGTATCAAACCAACTGTAAAATATTCAGAATATTATTCCCTATAATGCTCAATATTGATTTGATTGGTTTGATACCTTTATCTCAAACTGTGTCAGAGTTTATTTAAAGTAGGTACAGTACATAAAACATATGAAAATAAATATGGTTTCAGTACTATATATAAAAACAATAAAGGCATAATCTGAAAAACCAAGCCTTGTGCATTAAAGGGAATAATATTCTGAATATTTTACAGTTGGTTTGATACCTTTAGATCAAATGGTGTTGTCTTTAATGGATTTATATTATTGCATACATTAAAAGTTGTAAAAAATATTATAAAAAACATAAAATTGTAATTTCAAAAACGGAGCTTTGTGCGATAACAGGTATGTTTTCCTGAACATTTTAGTATTGGTTTTATATTATAATGTCATGTAGTTAAATTGTTTAATTAATTTAAATGGTAATTTTTTTTTTTTTAATTCCTAGAAATTAAGCCTTGTGCAACATAAAGGGCATATATTTATGTCTATCCGAGTTAGTTTGGGCTCAAAACATAAAAGCTGCAAAGAGTTTAATTGGCAAAAAAAAACAAATGTCTAATGAATGTCAAACGTCAAACTAACTTTTTGTTTTGTTGTTTTTTTTCGTATAAACTAAATTTGTTGAAGTCACACTGTTACAAGGGCTAACAGTTAATGTGTTGCTGCGTATTCGTTTTTATAGTTTAGCTCACAAATGATCTGTCAAACCTTTCATTTTTGGATTTAGTTAATGATAATAACATCCACCTGCATCTTTTTTGTAAACTTGTGTAGTTGAACTGTGTTGAACTGCAATCTGTGTTATGGCATCATGAAAATGCATTGCATTTTGCGTTTACTCTACAAATATCTAAAACATTCTCAAATTAAGATACATTTGCTTGTATCACAAAATGACTTAATATATTAAGTCTTGTTTTCTGAAAAATTTATCAAAGTTATGCAAGTGGGGTCAGAAAAATTACTTTAATTCAAAAGGAAAACATACTTTGATGCAGTGTGTGAGACCAGCGCCGGTGATGCGCGACGAGACAAAACCAGTAAAACCAATATAAACAAGGCATTTGTTGCATCCAGTGGGGACATAAACATAAAACCATGTCTGCATTTGTGATCGGAGAAACGACAAACAACAAGCGCTACTCTACACTGCTCAAAACTCGCGTTTGAATCATCAGTGGCAAATTCTTTAAATATAAAAACATACTTACAGGCTGTGAGTCAGAAGCGCCAGACTGTCCTTGCAAAGTTGGAATTGCCCCACTGGAAACAGACAGCATTGTAGGCTTCTCTTCCAGGAAACAGTCCTCATCCTCCATAAAATGTGCTGCACACATCTGAATATTTGGGTTGAACTGTTCTGGAACATTGTTGTAAATACAACTTAACCACTGATTTCTAGTTGTGTCCTCTTTTGGAAGGCCAAACAAAGTAGTTTCGCGTTCATTATGAAACACACAGCATGTGCAACAAACATGGCGGCGGCAACAACAATACTACAGCGAGAATCAAAGTTACGCCTTCTTTCTTTGCGTGAACATTTGGGCGGCGTTATGCAAATCTTCCCACATCGTGATGTAGACATGTGGGGGCGTGTTAGAATGAGCCGTTTTAGGTAGGCGTGGTTGACTTAACTTTTATAAAGAATATCTCTTTGGATTTGAGACTTTAGTCTTTGCAACTTTACAGATCTTCTTTATGCACCAAGAGCTTGTAACACTCCAAAGAGAAAGGAAAATTTGAAATCGCATCATATGACCCCTTTAAGCAAAACCTCACTAAATTTTGAAACTTTTTTTAAAAAGTAATCTTGTTTCTCAAGTAAATGTATCTTGATTTATGGGGATAGTTCACACAAAATTAAAAATTGTTCCAAACCTGTATGAATTTCTTTCAGTTGTTGAACACAAAATAAGTTATTTTGAATAATTTTGGTAACCAAACAGTTGACGGTAGCCATTGACTTCCATAGTATGAAAAAACAAATAATATGTAAGTCAATGGCTACCGTCAACTGATTGGTTACCAACATTTCGGTAACACTTTACGGTAAGTGTACATGAATTACCATGAATTCATGCATAAATTAATGTGGGAATTATGCATTACTTCATGCATTAATATCTCATGAATTATCAGGAACTAACATGAGTTCAAAGTCTTTCATTCATGACTTCATGGATGAACAACACCTTAATTAAGACATTAAGTAAGGTGAGTATCATCATGATTTATAATTTATTAAGCATGATCATGATGTTTTCTTTGTTCACAAAAAACAAGGTCTTTACTATCCATTGTGGATAAAGCTATGCTTATGGTACATGATTCAAAAAAGCATTATTTCGTGCAGACTACTTGAATTATTAAAGGAATATACAAAAATCCACATTACCTCATGCATGCATACAGGCTAAAGCAGTATATCAATTAATGTGAGAACTAATGTTTTTCATTAAGAAAAAATGTGAAAAATTATATTTTATTCATATTTGTGCCATGTCCTCTGTAGAGGACATCGGGACTTTAAAAAGTCCTGTTTTTTAAAAATACAAATAAAAGACAAAAAACAGTGTGATTTCTGTTTTAATCACAAACCAATTAAAAAATTTTATACCAAACTTTATATAAAGAGGATTCTCAACTATGTTATGAAAGATATTTTTAAAAAACATTTTTCTTTATGCAAAATGTGTGTAAAATGGCCATAAACAAGTTTTTCCATTATATACAATGTATCTCTAAACTGTATCTAATTTGCGTATTAATGTGTTTTTGGAGCAACATAGAATGAACAAATAAGTGAAATAATGGGTGTAATAATTAGCAAGATTTTCATAATAATATTTAATAGGAATATTGATATATAATTTTTTTCTCTATTCGTTTGTTGTGTCTCCCAAAATGTGTAATAAACATTCTTTAAGTCCTGGTGTCCTCTACAGTGGACGTCCTGTTTCATAACAGAAGGTCATATTTTGATTTGAAACCCCGTAACATTTTCCTGAGATGTTGATTTATGACAAACAATTTGAAAATTAGTCAGATTTAAATGATAATTACAAAATATTATCCATAAGGGTGTTACACTTGATCACTAAATTAATGTCAGCCATTTTTAAAGACCAAGGAGAGGATCTCTGGAAAGCCCTGAATGTGCTCTGTACAGGACTTCCAGACTTAAAACTGTGACATGTAACGTATCAGAGAAATTGCTAAAACATAATATCCTCTACAGAGGACAAAACTCCATAGCTGGTAGTCAGGAGGATATGAATATTTCATACTGGTCCTATGCATAATTTTTTCGTTTTATTTATTTTATTATTTATTTGTTATGCCTTTGTAATATTTTTATTCGTCTAACCTTTTTTTTATATCAGGGACATTTTTCTTTTACATATTTGACTTTATTTTGTTTCTACCTGTATTTAAAATCTAAAAAAAAAGTGTGTTAAAGTGAAATTAAAATGTATTAATTTTTTTTTATTAAATTTAAAAATAATATCCAGAAAATATTTACTTTGCAAGTTGACTTTTTATGTTGTTCCTACCCACTATTACAAAAATGTAAGCTACATAAACTAAAATTTATATTGAGAGAAAAAAAAAGAAAGAATAAAGCAGATATTACATCTCATAACTCAGTTTATGTATGAAATATCTGAGAATTTGACACATGCTAATATGTAAATGACCTTCATTTACATTAGCACAGATTTCACAGATTTTCTTATTTCCTGAGTTTCTTTGCCTCACTCACTTGTTCTTGCCTGTGTCTCTGTTGCCCTCTGCTGGCCATATTATGTGATTCAGGTGCTGTAATTTTGTATTGAGTGTTGCCTGTTTTTGTCTCCACAGTAAGTTAATTGCAAGATGAGTACAGAAGACCAAATTGCACCACTGTCTCCCAAGACATCACCCTCCACACCAACCTTGACACCATTTACGCAACGAAAAGAGAGTAACTCCTCATCTGAAGGTAACAGACAGGTAAGACAAACCACTTCAGATATTTACTGAGGACTTAATTGATGTCTGCTAAAACATCTAGTGTGCAAATAATACATTTTTAATATAGCAGTGGATATGATGATCTTTTGACGCAGTTGGTATTTCTCTGTATGCTATGTATTAAATCAGCATCTACTGCAGCAGTTTTTAACTTCAGTTCTTCTTAGGAAAAAGTCCATGTTCTTTCTTCCATAGATTTTTAAAAAATAAAGATTTTTTCTTTCGTCGTCGTATTTTTTTAGGACAGCTGGGAGTTGGTTGAGGACTTGCGCGGACTGACAGGAAATATTCAGAAGCCTGAGAAGCGGGAAGGTTTGCTGTTGAAAAAGAGAAAGTGGCCCATGAAAGGCTGGCATAAGGTGATTACAAGATATTGTCATTGACTTTTTAATGGCTTTGAATACATGCATCTTTTCACCTTTTCTCTTTGTCTGTCTATGTTTAACAGAGATATTTCCTGCTTGAAAGGGGCATCCTTACATATGCCAAGACCGGGACTGATGTGAGTGTGAAACCCTGGTTTCATCCACACATTTTCTTCAAGGCTTATGTGGAGTAAAGTTGCTTAAATCCTGTCAGAGATGCTCTTTCATCCCTTATCGTGTGATTGATTCCTCAGCTGAAGAAGGGGAGGTTACGAGGTCGCATTGATGTTGGTCTCTCTGTCATGGCCATGAAGAAGAAGTCAATGTGTATCGACCTGGACACAGAGGACAGTATCTATCACCTCAAGGTATTGGCACACGCTCACCTACACATGCTGGGCTATGAATTGTAGTTAGTTACTCTCATTTTGAGAATGCACATTCTCATTTGCTGTATTTACCGTGACATTCACAGGCGAAGACTCGGGATCTGTTTGAACAGTGGGTGACGCAACTACGCCATCATCGAATGTTCCGTCAGAACGAGATCGCCATGGAACCTCCCGAGCGACAGCTGCAATCTGACCCCACCTCCAACAGACGAGTATTTACCCTCCTTATACAGTCATCAATCACGAGTGTAGTATAAAAGTCAGCCTTTAGACCCAACATCCCTTCAAACAGGATAAGAACCTCTAAAGCTGTAAGGAAGTTACAATAATAAGGAGATCCACCGATATGCTGAAATTTTGCCTGAAACAGTTCAGTTATTAAAATATGTCATGGCTGATATTGAGTTTTAAACTGTTCTGCCTTTAGAAGCATCAATAAAGTTTTCAAACTGGAATATTGGTTTCTTAAATCAAAACATCTTGATATATAATACGAAAAATTGCTTGTTTATGGTACTTGGCATAAAACAAGTTTGAATTTAAAGTAATAAGCATTTGCTCACAATATCATGTCACTAGGCTAAACACTTAAATAAAATCAATAATTACTGATGTGCATATTAATGTGCAATTACTGGGTTGCATATTGTGCACTCCTAATAACAACAACAGTATTAAACAACAGTAATATACTACTTTTAAGTGACAAAGACTTTAACATTGTTACAAAAATGTATATATATCTTTTAATCAATTCTGTTCTTTTGAATTTTCAATTCCTCAAAGAATCCTGAACAAAAAGTATCATGATTTCCACAAAAACGAAGCATCACACATGTATTTAATATTTATCATAAAAAGCAATGTTTCTTGAGCAACATATTAGAATTCAGCTTTTCCATCACAGGAATAAATTACATTTTAAAATATATTAAAATTAGTGCTGTCAAACGATTAATCGCATCCAAAATAAAAGTTTGTTTACATAATATATGTGTGTGTTTTGTGTATATTTATTGTGTTTATATAAATACACAATATAATATAAATTATATGAATATAAATATAGACATGTAAATACATGTAAACATTTTCAAAATGTATACTGTATGCATGTGTATTTATATATACACATAATAAATATACACCGAACACACACATATATTATGCAAACAAAAACTTTTATTTTGGATGCGATTAATCGTTTGACAGCACTAATTTTAATATATTTTAAAATGTAATTTATTCCTGTGATGGAAAAGCTGAATTCTAATATGTTGCTCAAGAAACATTGCTTTTTATGATAAATATTAAATACATGTGTGATGCTTCGTTTTTGTGGAAATCATGATACTTTTTGTTCAGGATTCTTTGAGGAATTGAAAATTCAAAAGAACAGAATTGATTAAAAGATATATATACATTTTTGTAACAATGTTAAAGTCTTTGTCACTTAAAAGTAGTATATTACTGTTGTTTAATACTGTTGTTGTTATTAGGAGTGCACAATATGCAACCCAGTAATTGCACATTAATATGCACATCAGTAATTATTGATTTTATTTAAGTGTTTAGCCTAGTGACATGATATTGTGAGCAAATGCTTATTACTTTAAATTCAAACTTGTTTTATGCCAAGTACCATAAACAAGCAATTTTTCGTATTATATATCAAGATGTTTTGATTTAAGAAACCAATATTCCAGTTTGAAAACTTTATTGATGCTTCTAAAGGCAGAACAGTTTAAAACTCAATATCAGCCATGACATATTTTAATAACTGAACTGTTTCAGGCAAAATTTCAGCATATCGGTGGATCTCCTTATTATTGTAACTTCCTTACAGCTTTAGAGGTTCTTATCCTGTTTGAAGGGATGTTGGGTCTAAAGGCTGACTTTTATACTACACTCGTGATTGATGACTGTATAAGGAGGGTAAATACTCGTCTGTTGGAGGTGGGGTCAGATTGCAGCTGTCGCTCGGGAGGTTCCATGGCGATCTCGTTCTGACGGAACATTCGATGATGGCGTAGTTGCGTCACCCACTGTTCAAACAGATCCCGAGTCTTCGCCTGTGAATGTCACGGTAAATACAGCAAATGAGAATGTGCATTCTCAAAATGAGTGTTATGAAAGATATTTTTAAAAAACATTTTTCTTTATGCAAAATGTGTGTAAAATGGCCATAAACGAGTTTTTCCATTATATACAATGTATCTCTAAACTGTATCTAATTTGCGTATGAATGTGTTTTTGGGGCAACATAGAATGAACAAATAAGTGAAATAATGGGTGTAATAATTAGCAAGATTTTCATAATAATATTTAATAGGAATATTGATATATAATTTTTTTCTCTATTCGTTTGTTGTGTCTCCCAAAATTGTGTAATAAACATGCTTTAAGTCCTGGTGTCCTCTACAGTGGACATGTATGAAATCGATGTCCTGTTTCATAACAGAAGCTCATATTTTGATTTGAAACCCCCATAACATTTTCCTGAGATGTTGATTTATGACAAATAATTTGAAAATTAGTCAGATTTAAATTAAAAATGGTAATTACAAAATATTATCATATTTCCATAAGGGTGTTACACTTGATCACTAAATTAATGTCAGCCATTTTTAAAGACCAAGGAGAGGATCTCTGGAAAGCCCTGAATGTGCTCTGTACAGGACTTCCAGACTTAAAACTGTGACATGTAACGTATCAGAGAAATTGCTAAAACATAATATCCTCTACAGAGGACAAAACTCCATAGCTGGTAGTCAGGAGGTAAAATTTAAACCATACATGTTTTCTTTTTTCTTTAAGATAGCTCAAGCTTTAGCCTCCTGCTCACAAAAACGCCTGCAACTAATATATAATTCAGTTTTCTGCACTCTATACCTTACAGAGGACATGTTTGAATATGTACTGCTGTGTTTGTGCCATTTATTTGATCAGTTTATTTTTGTTCAACATTAAATATTTAATGAGTCCACATCAGTTGCTTGTTACATTAAAAGGTGTCTGCTAATCTTAAAAAAGACCAAGCTGTTTGTGTCATCTTTTTTTTTTTTTTTTTTGTAAATCCTTTATGGTTTTGTAAACCAGCTTTATGGTTTTGTAAAGAGTTTTCAGATATACAGGCACTTCAAGTTCATGGTATATGTACTGAATTCCTTCTGAGCTCTTCCCAGGCATTGCTGTTGATTTAACTGGGTTTTACTGTTTAAGAATAAAGCAGAAAGTTTTGATCAAAGTCCCTTTGTGTCCACAGTACATTGTGTGCAAAAGCTTGAACTTTCATGTTCATATTCATGTCATTTCACAATCATACCATCACTAATAACACACTGTTTATCAGTATTCCAAAGGACCAAGTCACCACTTTAGTTGAGGGGCCACACACATGATGAAAGCATGAGAAGCTAATGCTTAGTTAATGATGACTACTGTATTTGGATGTTAACAGAATTCACATACTGTGCTGTGATTGGCCAATATTGGGGTCTGTCCATTTACCTGCAGGCTACTATGAAGAAGATATGAACATGCTTGATAACTCATATCATATTTAATGAAAAACATTAGTTCTCACATTAATTGATATACTGTTTTAGCATGTATGCATGCATGAGGTAATATGGATTTTTGTATATTTCTTTAATAATTCAAGTAGTCTTAAATGCACAAAATAATAATACTTTTTTGAATCATGTACCATAAGCATAGCTTTATCCACAATGGATAGTAAAGACCTTGTTTTTTGTGAACAAAGAAAACATCATGATCATGCTTAATAAATTATAAATCATGATGATACTCACCTTACTTAATGTCTTAATTAAGGTGTTGTTCATCCATGAAGACATGAATGAAAGACTTTGAACTCATGTCAGTTCCTGATAATTCATGAGCTATTAATGCATGAAGTAATGCATAATTACCACATTAATTTATGCATGAATTCATGGTAATTCATGTACCCTTACTGTAAAGTGTTACCAACATTTCTTCAAAATATATTCTCTTCAAAGTAACTTTGTTTTGGAACAAGTGGAGTGTGAGTAAATGATGACAGAATTTTCAGTTTTGGGGGAGCTACCCCTTTAAGCATGTTTAGATATCTGTATCTAAAAAAAGGGCAAAAATACGGAGTAAGAAAATGATTTTTTTTGCAGTGTATAGTTTCTAAATTATAGCATTATGTTGTATTGATACATCATTATTTTTTCTCCATAAGGACACTCCTTAGTGGAAATCAGAGTTCGGGCTCTTAAAAATATCATAAGCAAACTGGATCATGGTCTCATCACCATTCCTGATCTGGTCCAAGAAAGGATGCTGTGTGTCTTCCTTCTGGAATGGTTTAATTTTCCGGAGGTTCCAGTGCAGGAGGAAGTTCTGGAGTTGATCAGCATGCTGTCCAAGGTAATTATAATGCACGGAATGTATGTAAAATGATTTGAGTGTCTTTATACTGCCAGGCTGCATTTAGTGAGATGTTCTCAATGACAGGAAGTTATGTTTTAATGGGCCTCACCGCAGTGGCACTATTCATTACCAATCAGATCATGAGGGGGAAATAAGTGCAAGCGGATGTCAGTATCCACAGAAGGAACCAGGCAGATTATTGTACTAGATGGCACGTTTTGAGTAGTATCTAATTTTGGTTTCCGTACCATGTCAAAGCACACAACCGGAGCCCAAATGCTACGGGAGGTAGGGACTGTCGAATTCCTAACACAGCTCTCACCTAATGTGGTTCCTCGCCTCCAAACTATCATAGACGGCATCTTCGATCAGCTCTTCCAGCTCCCAGAGGCCCTGCCTAGTTGTCCACCCACCAACTCCTACGAGCCACACTGTGTTCCCTCGCTGCAGACAGGTATAAAAACATTACATTGAAATTATATCCGTCTGTTCTGCAGATTACTGTAGATATCAATGTCATTATAACCAATGTCAAGGTTGCCACATAGTCCGGTTTGAATAGATGTCTGACAGCAGTTCTGGAATGAACATGAGTAGACTGTCTGATTCAAGGTAGAGGAGAGCATGAAAGTGCTACAGCTGCTTTTGTGTTCTCAGAAGACGAGTCGTCGGCTAGGGGATATTTCCAGTGCAGTAAACCCAAGCAGACAGATGCTCCCACCCCCAGAGTATCATGTAGGTGACATCAACATCAAATTACTTTTTGTTAACTAACTTTCAGGGAGAACTTAAACTCATTAAATCTGTAAAATGGATCACTCTAGAATGTGTGTGTTAAATAATCTAATATCAGCACTGATAAGAATTGTCAGGACTCTTAAGTATTTTTTTTTTCTTCTGGCAAGGTTGGGGCAGTAGTGCAGATTTGCATGCTTTATTT